GAGGACTCCCGGCCCCCACTGGCACTCTGTCCCCTGCTGCAGAACCCTGTCCCCTCTCCCCTGTGCCCTGCTGCAGAACCCTGCCCCCATCCCAGCACTCTGTCCCCTTCCCCAGTACCCTTCCTTAGTACCATGTCCCCTGCTCCCACCAGCACAGTAGGGGCCACATTAGTGAGGCTTGGGGGGGGGAGGGTTGGGATGATGTTTTTTTTTTTCCTCGTTCCATGTGATCTTGGGTGTAAAAAGGTTGGAGACCACTGCCCTACAGGTATGTGTGCAGGTTACCATTCCTGATGTCTGATTTGTGTCCATTTATCTTTTGGCATAGATACTGTCCAGTTTGGCCAATATACATGGCAGGGGGCATTACTGGCACTTGATCGCATATATCACATTAGTGGATATGCAGGTGGAGGAGCCCTTGAGGATGCGATTTATGTGGCTAGGTGCTGTGATGGTGTCACTTGTATTGATGTGTCCATATGTAGTAGAGAAATCTTATTTTAGGTTATGTATAAGTTAGAATAAAAATAATAATGTAGTAGTTCAGGTATTAAATGTATTGGTGTATTTTATGAGTATGACTTGTATCTTGCCAGCCACCCTTTTTGAAAGAAGAAAGGAATGGTCTATGTGTACCCTGGGCGAAGGTACATCCACCAGAATCTTGTGTCGTGAAGCTGATTCCAAGGCAGCAATAGACTCTTATAGTCACCACTGTTTTAAGATTTAAAATTAGCATTGTGAAGTAAGTGAGATGATTGTTTTCTTTAAATTGTATTTGATATTCCTGCTCACACATTTTTATTTCTGTGTAACAAAGAAATCAACCCTGTTTTGTTTGTGTGAATGAGGAATGGGTGTTAGAAAATAAGTGTGAAGGCCATTTCCAGGCCAGATATTCTAGGGCAAAGCAGAGGACAGAAGTAAAGGTGCCAGGAGATTGCTGCACATCCCCATTGAGGTATGGATGAAGGGCAGATTGAGGACTCTAAAATATAAGGCAAGCACCTATCCTCTGGGACAAGATAGCTATGATATGAGAAGAAAATAAGCACTTGTCAAATGGCAATTGATTACAGCACGATTGTGTGAAACTTTCTGATGCCAATGAAGGAAAACTACTATAAAAGAAGCTGCTTTGCCATGATCTTTTGGGTTCTGGCCTACCAACGCTACCCAGGAACATCATGTCGTGGCTAACAGAGCCCTGCTTCATCCTACCTGTGATCAATATGGCTGGCCACCCGAGTGGTAACTATAACAACTGGTGGGACAGTGTGTATCCCTCTCACACTGGTCACGTCTGCACAGCAGCATTATTTCAGAATAACTGCCATTATTTCAAAACAATAAAATGCACGTGTACACAGCAAGCCATTATTTTGAAATAATGTCTAGCTGGAGCACTTCTTACTCTGACTCCTGTAACCTTTACTTTACGAGGAGTAAGGGAAGTCGAAGGAAGAGTGTTCTTCCTTTGACTTCCTGCTGTTTAGCCAGGACCAATAGCTGAATTAAGCTATTTCAACTTCAGCTACATAATTGATGCAGCTGAAGTTGTGCATCTTAATTCGAGTTTTGCCCTGCTGTGTAGACATGCCCTCTGAACATATATTAGCTGCTTTATTTGTATTAACACACATAGTGCATAACTTTTTCCCTTAAGAAGATCCCATGTGCTTTTATAAGCGTAACAAATGTCCCCATACCTATAGAAGCAACACTATCACAGGATCTAAGTTCTACAAATGGTACGATGGCTCATACTGCAGTTTGAGGAGCATGGTGCCGTGGCTTAGGGATCAGGGATCAGCTCAGTTCCTTCAGATCTCTGACTGCCTTAATGGTGTCAGACACAGAAGGAAGGTCTAGGTCAGGGGTGGCCAACCCACTGCTCGTGAACCGCATGCGGCTCTTCAAAGAAAAAATTGCGGCTCCCGCACCTCTTCAAGGTTTTTGTGTGAAAGACAGAGAGTGTCATGGTGTCCCATGCAAACTTCAAAATGGCCAATGCCTGCTCTGCTCTTAAAAGAGCAAACTGTGCTTTTTTTTTTTTGCTTGACCAAATGTGGCGGCCAGGGCTTTCCCCCTCCCCACCTCAACTTTTTTCCCCCCACTCAGTTCTTTGCGCTGTATCCACCACTATTTCGGCTCTTCATCTGTATCTGTAACGGGTTGGCTACCCCTGGTCTAGGTCTTCAATTCCCACATCTTCTGGCCTGTGGCATCTATCCATGCTGGCAGACTCAGCTGTTTCATGCCACAAGGGAAAAATCACATTCCCCCCCCCCCCGAATTTCAAGTCCTGATGCAGAAGTGAGGGTAAACGTTTGAACAACAATTTAGTTTCCTTCAAAAGGACTCCCAGTGAAACTAATCAAGGCATAATTGTATAAGTTTATCAGAATTTAGCTTAAAAGAAACAGGCTATTCCTGCAGACACCAAGAATGCTGTGGGTTTGACAGCTAGGTATCCAATTTCCAGACAACATGAGGTAAAAGGGGCAGACTGTGCTAATGAACCACAAGCAAACTGCTGTTTTGTTATTTATTAACACTAATAAATGAGCTCAGAATACTGATCAGAGAGTTTACATGTCTCACAAAAATTCCATGTGACAAATATCAGGATACATATTGTAGAAACAACAGCTGTGGCAATAACAATAAAGAATGTTTCATTAACTAATGACTAATATACCAGAAAGCAATCACACTAGTAATCAGTAATAATTTACATTAAAAAGTGCACATTTGAAATCAAGGGAAAAAAGTGACACTGTCAATTAAAAAAAAGCCTTCTTTTCTTTTTACTCTGTGATAGGTTCCCATGCAGTTGCTACAGTATTTGTCATTCTTCTCATTTACCTAGGTCAGGGAGACATGGAATTGACCCAGTACTAAGCAATAGTGTAAATCTATGGCCTTTTTGCCAAGGGAAAAATTGACCATCATAGCTACTGCAAAACACCTTATTTTGTAATATTATTCCAAAGTAACTTACCTGGGTGGAGACAGTAACCTGGAATCATAGTGACTTTATACCAGAATAATTAATTAGTCTGTTCAGAAAACCAGATAAATTAGTTCAGAATCGAATCACTAATTCCAGAACTGAAAGTCCACAGAGGGGAGTTATTTCAGAATAGCTACAATTATATTGGAATAGTTATTCCAGAACCGTTATATTGGAATAGCCAACCTGGTCAATTTCTCTACATTGTAGACTAGAATTAGGTTTAATAGCAGGAACCACAGCTTCACCAGCACCAACAGCCTCATTATTTCCAAATGTTTTTCAAACCATACTTGTTATAAGTTTACTCTAAAACAACAACAATAAAATTATTGGACTCTCTCATTTAAAAAAAGCTTAGAACAAGATAAATAAATCTGAGAAAGAACTATAGGGAAAAAAAAGAAAACCAATGTAAAGATTTGGTTTGAAACCCTGATCTGCAACTAACTACAGTCAAAGTGGCCAAACTGTACCACAAACACAAAAAACATACAGAACTGAGGAAATATTCACATTAGTGAATCATTCTAAAGGCTCATCTAGTAATAAAATGGAGTGTTGATGAGTCATTAATTTTAGGCATAATCAATTTAGCGGTTGACATTTTAATTTGTCACATGCACACCACCACATTATGCAAAGAAAAAAAAACAGCCCTTTCAAACAAGTGGTAGAAAAATTCACAGTAACAGAAAATTTTTTAATGAGCATTTGAAACAGGGCAGGTGGAGCATCTAAGTAGTACAATACAAAACATTGTAAACAACAGAGCTGTAAATTACAGGTGCAGAGTTCTAAAAACAGTGCTTTCTACGTAGTTCTTTTACTCGGTGATCAACTTTCCAGAGAATGTTAAACTCTGAGGATCACTCAAACCTTTGCCACATAACACAATTAAATCCTCTGATGCTTCAAAGACCTTTTTCTACAAGAATTGTCTACTTTGTTCTACTTTCTACAAGCATCCCCATCAAGTAGTTATGAAAAGATCCATCTAATTGATGTCAATGTCCCACGATTAATAATATTTCAACCATTGCTAATGACAGAGGTAGAGCAAATTCCATCTGCTGTCACAACCTGTGTTCCCATTTTTAGCATTATGTTGAGCAAGTTCCAGCAATGAAACACATCCATTTTTTTTCCCCACCAACTTGCTCATGGAAACAAATTTGTTCCAGCAAACTCTTGCAGTCTGAAAACATGCAGCAGCTGCTCCTGTCCGTCAAAGTTGAAGGTCAGCTTTCCTGTTTTGCTGCTTCCCCCTGGGTCTCCCCAGCTTGTTCAGTTGGGTTTCTTTGTGCATCTCCTTCACTTTCTGCAAGAAAAAAAAAAATGAGGGGAATGATTGAAAAAAAGTTTTAAAGATGTCCCATTCTAGATCTGTATTTTGCTCCTGAAATAAATTTTATCCTCTGCCAAATTTAAAATTTGTCATGTTATTGTAGCAATGTTGGTCCAAGGATATTAGAAAGAGAAGACAGATGTAGTAATATCTTGTACCGTACCAACTTCTGTTGGTAAAAGAGATAACCTTTCAGAAGTTGGACTAATAAAGAGAAACTGCCTCACCTCCAGTGTCAAAATATCAGAGAAAGGAAGGTAAAAGGAGAACTACTATACTGAAAAAATAATGGGGTTGCAATTAATTCAAACATGTTTTAAAGATACCCTATATTAATGAAAAAGCAAGACTGCATATTTAAAAACACCCTGACAAACCTATTTCTGGCTGATAATTATCTATCATTGCAAGTAACATCTTAAGTTTTAGTAATCTTAATGTTAACAGTTTTCCAGGTTTGTTTACCATGTTCATTTAACTATAAGAAAATCATTGATTGTATTAAGCCTAAATAGAGATATTTGATGGGCTATAAATATTTGTCTACCATAATCATAAACAATAGTAACAACATTTTAAAAATTCATACACCGTGTGTAATACTTTCTCTAAGAATCACACCCCACATATGTGACTACTTTTGCTCTCTCATTAGCCACAGGAATGATTTTCAGACTTGAAAATATATTTTACATTGATAGACTTACAAAGTTCAGTCATTTTAGTTAACCTAAAAGAAGATTAAGAGGGGACTTCATAATGACCTGTTCGTACCAACATGCGCAGAACAGATCTGATAGTAAAAGGCTCTTTTTCCAGCTAGATAAAAGGCATAATAAGATGCAATGGTTGGAAGTTGAAGCTAGACAAATTCAATTTGGAATAATGTAATTAACCACTGAAACAATCCACCACTTTGCTTGGCAAGTTATTTGTCAGTTCCATTCTAAAGACTGAATGTCTCCTAAAATAAATGTTAGAATTACAGCATGAATTATTGGGCTTGATGCATAAATTACTGAGTGAAATTCTATGGCTTGCATCATGCTGAGGTCAGAGTGGACTAAGCCTTCTAGCCTTAACATCAAAGCACCCCTTTTAATGTGAGATATGCCACAGGTGTGATTGGCCTAATTAATTAGGTGCTTCCCAGCCTGGTCGTGTGAGGGGTTAAAGAAGGCCTGGGCAGTTTATGGATACCTGGGCCTCACCAGAAGGCTGACAAAGCTCTGTTTATGGAGTTGGAACCAACAAGTGGGAAGGCTCCTCTGTGAAAGCCAAGGTGGCTCTGATTTTTACTCAGACTCATGGAGTAAGATATGGCATTACATCCAAAAATCATGTAAAAAAATGAATGCTATGTTACTTTCCAGCTTAAGGTTCTATGGTGCTCTTGGACCATATTTTCAAACTTTTTCCCTGAATCCACAGGGGCCAGAATCTTTTTTTTTTTTTTTTTAAGTAAGCAAGCTGAGATTCTCATGCAATGTTGATTCTAGCAGGTGGACTTTAAGAAATAAAATACATCACAAGACTAATAATAAAACTGCGACAGTTGACAATACTAGAAATATTTTCAATATGGCTGCAAATGGCCTCTCTGATCAATTTGTAATTCCAGATATTCTTATCCTCTTATAGTCCACCAACTGTCTCAGATTACATCACTGACTTAATCCTAAAAAAATTTCTTTTCTTCTCATCTTTACTGATCCAAACTTAAAACTATCATTCCAATTCTGTATTACTCTGCCTATATCAACTTTCTTCCCCTTCTCTGTTTTATGCTGAGATGTTTGGACCCTCAGTTTTCACAAGGATGCATTCCTCTCAACTTTTCACCTTCCAATTCTATTCCTAACTCTCTATGATGCAACTGCACATATCTGTAATTTTTTTTTTCCGAGCCATTTGTATCCATCTATTCTCAAAAAGACAACATTCCTCAGTGTTCTTTTTAAGCTTCAGGAGTAGCCAAGTTTTCTTGTTTTTTCCTGAACAGGCTATGATCTGGTAGCACTTTATAGACTAATAAACATGTTGATGGTATCATGGGCTTTGGTGGGCACAGCTCATGACGACTCTTGTCATCTGAAGAAGTGGCTGTGCCCATGAAAGCTCATGATACCATTTACATGTTTTGTTAGTCTATAAAGTGCTACCAGACCATGTTTTGTTCTTTTTAATCTTGGTATATGGATCACTTTAGTTAAAGTCAGGTGCTGAGCTAATCTGTGCTGAATTGTGGGCAAAATACGCACTTCAAATTGGGTTTCATGGTCTATCCTGAGAAGGTGAAAGCTCAGCTCACTTGAGCTAACAACTTTTCCATGAGCACACAAGTATAAAAGCCTTGCTCTCTGTTGTCAGCCATTACTGAGGACACAGGTGTTTCAAGTTTCTTGTTGTGGATTGGGAACAAAAGTCACATTGCTGCAAAAAACTGACTATGTTTTTATTTTAAATACACTCTTAATTAAATATGCCCACTTTGAGGTTATGGGGGGGTTGCAGATTACAGCTGGTTTATTTTGGCTAGCATACTGCAGTACTTGTTTTGAAGAAATATCCTTATACTTGCACTTCTGCAAATAAATATGAAGTAGAAAATGAGTCAAATTTTGGACCTACCAACTTAGTTGAGTTTGTTGCTATATTGGTGTAATCTAACAAAAGAACGTTTGAGCATAAATTGCCTGACATCTTTTTGCCAACATGTAGATTGGCAAGCTAAGTCTGTGTGTCAAACAGCAGCTGCATTAGAAAGCTGCCAAAATTGACGAACAACAGTAGGTATTTCACAGACCTGGAAAGTGATCTACTCTCTCACCTTGACACAGGCATGGTGGGCCATTGGTGAAACAGTGCAAGGGACACTGCAGAAAAGATCAGTTTGAGGCTTTTGATTTGGCATCTTTAAAAGAACTACATTCACTTTGCAAAATCAGTTGGGGGTTGAAGTGGAGAAAGAACAACTCTCCAAAAAATCCAAACTATTCCCAATACAGAAGGTTAACAATATATCCAACTGTGCAGAAGTTTAAGAGAAGGTACAATGCCATTTCCATGTATCTTGCTAACCTAATAAGATTTTATTGACTGCTTTGAAAAGTTGTCTGAAATTACATTTTATATAAGCAGCAAGAGAGCTTTCAAACTAAATACAATCTTGAATCATAGCAAACTTATACTAATCATTATAAAAGTTTAGCCATTCTCAGAATATATGAAGATTCAGGATCTCAAGTCTCCTTTTCAACAAAGCAAAGCCTACTGCATCTGTGATAAATATGTTAATATGAATTTTTAAATAAAATTCCTCTGAATGATCACAAGAGAAAGTAACTCTAGCTACTAATTGCTTCTTCAGTATTAAGAGATACTGAATATAGTCAAAACAGTGAAGTTTGACTGTGTAATTGCAGTTTTGTAAAATGTAAATGTATGGTAGGAAGAAAGTTTAAAGGGATAAGTTGAATCTTAACTGTAGGAATTTGAAGTAAATCTAGAGCAGAGGTTCAGCTGGAGCTGAAGCTGGCTGTTTGTGGTGGCTCTGGGGGCTGTGGTTGGGATACATTATGGCTCCCTGAACTGCCACACAGGAGCTGGCTCCCAGGGTGCAGCAGCATCACCTCGGGCAGTTGGAGCACCAGTGTCAGCTTCCCACTGGGGAGGGGGCAAAGAAAGCCCCGAACCTCATTGTATGATCTGGCTCGCGGGAATAAGCGCTCCCCTTCCACCTCTCCTGGCTGAGGGAACAGCAATGTGTGGGCAGCCCTTCTTCTCCACAGGCTGGATCATTGTAGTAAGGCTCTGGGCTCCCTGCCCTCTCCAAGCAGGAAGCTAACGCTGGAGCTCCAATGGACTCCAGTCAATGGGAGCAGTGGAGGCGCTGCCTGGGACTGACACAGGGCACCTAGGCAACTAAATGCCCCCCACTCCTTCATGCCCAGACTTCTGCACTCCCAGCCAGCTCATGCACCTCCACCACGCTGAGAGCCAGCATCTCCAGCCTGCTCCTACCCTCTCCCTCCAGCCAGGCACCCTACTTCAAGCCTGCTTCTGCATCCTACCTCCTATCCAGACCTCACCCCCCTCTGACACAAATCACTGGCAGCCCTGTCCTGCACACTGACATGCCCCTCCCCATTTTTGTCCTAACTTCAGAGCCTGGGGAGTGAGGGCGGGGAATCCTTAACCCTGGAACCTCAGAAGAGTAAATCTGGCCTATGGGAAACCCTGAACCTCAGTCCTCCATGTCCCTCCCCAGGAGGGGCTGGAGCACCAGAGGCATGAGGTGTCTCAGTTGGGGGCCACATCAGTAGGGTTGGAGATTTTTGGAGGGAGTGTGTGTGTGCGCGAGCATGCTACTAAAAATACACTTAGCCTTTTGAAAAAATATAGCCCCAGAAGGCTGTATATGGCAATTGCTTTGGAGGTGGCTCTACTAAGGATAGAAGTTGGCTTATTACAGAAGTCCCAGAAGATAAACAAACTCCACAATCTCGATCCTTGATCTAGTCAATGTGGAGAGAAACTCCCAAATCATTCTCTGTCCCTGCTGAAAAAGCACGTGTAACCCTACAGGATAGGACAGGCCAATCACAGGCAGCTTTCTCAGGTTCACTGTCATTTCCTCACATTAGGGCCAAACAACTTACTCCATCTGCAGCAATTATAGGTTTATGTCAAGACCATTAGATTCAAAGGAAAAAGTGTCAATATTTACGACAGGTGTGGGGGGAAATTTCAAATAAAACAAGGATAATTACATTAACAACCCACCATAAGGGCATTTACAATTACCTTCTGAACTGTTTAATCTTCTTATTCTTTTGCAACAGAAGGAACGTCTGATCTTCCATAAGCAAAACAACTACAAAAATGAGTAGTGACAAGTTTGAGAAGAGAAGCCATTTAAAAATCTGAGCTTCTGTACAAGTAGCAAAATCCACTGATTGTGCAACATCAGATGAAGAGTTGGAGATTATCCATTTACCCATGGGAAGTAATGCGTGTGTATACTAGCCAGATTTACTAAGTTATTCATTTCTTCAATGTGTTTTTTTGTAAATAGCTAAAATAAAAGAATACAAGTGCTTACCTGTTTTGTTTATATCAAGTTCTGATAACTTTAAGGATAGTTCACTAGAGTTCCCACTTGTAGAGGACACCAGGATATCATGTAATGCATTTCTTCTACCTGTTCTTCCTGAAGCAATAAAATCTGCATATGTAGATTCCACATCAGTCATTGCTAACAAATATCCACATAGCAGTACCTACACAGGAAGCAAAAAAAGACACCCATACTTAAAACACAGAAAAGATAAAAATGACAGGGAGGCGGAAGTTGAGGAATAGATACCTTCCATCATGAAGAATGAAACCTTTAAAAGTTGCTAGATTTGCAGTAGTAATAAGGAGAGCCCTCAAACTACTGAAAAGTTATTAGAAAACAAAATTAACAAAAATAAATAGTTCCAGGGTGTTAAACAACAAATGTTCTTTATTAAACTATTGACAACTGTAGTTTAAATATTTGAAATAATAGTTCATAATACATTCATAGGTGTATTTTTAAAAATGATAAATTTAGTAACATAAGAACTCTGCTATTTAGTGTTTGCTGGGAAGTGGGAGGACAGTGGGTGTTGGAAAGAGTTCTTTTCTGCGTGAAATACAAAGCACATAGATTAACAGACTTTGAATTAGTCAAGTTCTGCTTTGTTTCTGCATGTTTAATGTCCCTACCTGCAGTGGAGAGGTTATGCTTTGATAATGTTGGTACGGTATATACCATTAGGGCTTCTTCAGTTAATTTGCTTTGTGAATTGGCACCAAAGCAAATGTATTGCAATAAAGCCACTGAAGTCAGTGGAGTTATGCAGATTTCCATTAACTGAGGACCAGATCTGCATCATCTCCTAGTGGTTTAATACCTCTCCTCTCCCTTTACTTTACAGGGGAATTTTATTACAAATGTTTTTGAAAAAAAATCAATTTCTAGGCTTCGTTTTGACAAGCATTTATTTTACGTACCCAAACTCTATTAGCATGCTTGCTGCAGAGATCTAGATAGTTAGGTATTAGTAAAGAAATTTTAGACCAATTGAGTCTGCTAGACCAACACTTGATAGCTCTGCCCTTTTTGCATTGGTGCTATTCCAGTGAAGCCACCAATGGAAGAATTGGGTCCCTAATGCAAATTTAAACCTTACTAGTTTTCAGTGGGTGAAAGTACATTAACAATTCAACAAGAATGAGCAAGAGTAGAAAAACTGGGCCACTTAGCAGGGCACCAACTTACTGAAAAGATCTACAACAAAAACCAATGTCACTCATCCATTACCAAGACTTTTTGGGGTGCCCTGTAATGCCCTACAGATAGGACCATCTTCTGGACATCACAGTGTTCATATTGTTGATTCAGATTATATATTAGGGACTGCCTGCTGTGTCTTGCACAGGACTGAATGCTACTGTCACACCATACGGGATTTTTTCCTTCTCTGAACTATAAGGTCTGAGGCCTTTTTGTGCAGCCATATTAGGAGAGCAGCAACCATGAGCCAAGAAACAAAGTCGCATCTTCACACTCCATTTAAATTACATCAAAATAATGCAATAAGGAGGTCCTGTTCTAATGGTACCCGCAATCACCAGGTAAAAGACACAAGTCTTAAGAGGTTTAAAGAACCTTCGATAGCATTCGGTCTGGCAAGGAACGATATATCAACAGTTGTGTGTGTGAAATTCCTACCACTTTACTGTTTTGTCTTTATGCTCCATACTTCTCTATTGTAGAGCTTCTGCCTTGTTCTTTGATAGTTATGTAACAGGCCAAAACAAATTTTGCAAGTAGATAAACTGAGGTGATGCACAGAATTGCTTGTTTTGCAATATAATAGGTTGTGATGTCAACATGCAGTTGACTACACAATTAACCAATAAGGCTGGGCTTATTGGTTAATCTTGTAGACTACAAGCACTACCCCCCTCTTGCTGCCTCTGAGGACAGAGCCCAAGATCACAGTTGCCAGAACTTTATACCCTGCCAACTATACTGTGCAGAAGCTGGAGTCCCTAGGTGACCTGATTCTGATGAGCCAGCTGGAAAAGTTTGTCTGTGTTACTGGAAGTGGTGAGCATTGTATGCTTAGTGTGTGCATTCTGTTTTGAGAGGTTAAGGATATTTCTAGATAAAGCTCTTTCACTAGTAAAAGACCATGCAAACCTACAGATTATATATAAGTTTAAGTCTTAAACCCACAGAAGGGTAAATGGTGGGTGTCCACTTCCCTGGCTGCTACAGACTTAAAAGAAAACACTCAGATTATATCAGGTGGTATAGTTTAGCAGATGCAGGGGGAAAAACCAACACATACTGGGAAGATCTTAAATGCACCTGACTCTTTGGGACTCCCTTGTGCTGAAGAAGTTATGAAGAACAGGTGCTAAGTATGGCCAGAGCCTCACTGGGTTAGTATATTAAAGAAAATGACACTGTTAAAAAAGAAACCAGTGTACAGGCAGTCCCCAGATTACGCGGATCTGACTTATGTCGGATCCCTACTTATGAATGGGGTGAGGGAACCCCGAACTAGCTGCACCCCCCCCAGCAGACTGCTGAGACGCGCCGCGGCGTTCTCACTGCCCACGTCCTCCGCGGTGAGAAAAGCCGCTCCGCGTCTCCCTGGTCTGCTCGGGGCGGGGG